GCTTCTCATGCACATGCGCCTGGTATGTTTTTCAAGCCACCAGGTCCAGGACTCAAACTGCACAATTGGCTATGTGGAATCCAGCTGCCTTAAAAATCATGCCACTGGTTGGCCCTCAATCTGCAATTTGATGAACTTTTTGTCAGGGTGATAAAGTCAGTTAGAAAAGTTCAAGTCCAAGGGCCAGGAGGTGGCATGGTGGTTAGGGCACTAGACTCCCACATGGCTAACCATGGTTTGAATCCTGGACCTGGCAGCTTTCTTTCTGGGGAGCCGGCAGATGGCATAGTGTTTATGTTGTTGGATTCTCACATGGCCAACTGAGGTTCAAGCCCCAGACCTGGTGATTTGAAATTGACACCAGGTGCATGTGCGAGTATGCCCAAGATCCTAGGAGAATGGAGGAGAAAAGATTACGGCGTGGCCATCCCTTCTGGGGGGTGATTTCTCACTTTTCCTTTCACTGTCTCTGCCTCTCTTCTGTGAACACATGCACCCTAAGGTAAAAACTTCTTAAAAAAAAAAAAAAAAAACAAAAGCAGTCTAAGACCATAGATTTTCAGAGATTTTCAGCTTCAGGAGGGAGCCAGCCGTCTATCAGGGGAGTCCTTGGCTTTCCCAAATCTCACCTTTGTTAGCTTAGACCCTGAAAACAGTTACCTGCTGAGGACAGGTAGCAGGTGGCTATGTACCAGCCGTGGGGATGAACTTTTCGCTCTAGTTATTTTTCTACACGATGTTCAAACCACATGAATGTGGTGTTTAATCAAAATACTAAACAGTTAAGAGGAACTGCAGCGCATGAGTTCCTCAGCCTCGAGCAAGACCTACGAGATCTACCCTAGCTCCTATTCCAGCAGTCTGCCATCTATAGCAGATAATGTTACATATTCATAGGAGGTTTTACCTCCTGTAATAGCTCGCCGATGTCCGCCAGAAACAGCTCACATCAGTATTTCTCCTATAAGGCATCATGAAGTAGGAAGCGCTCTGGCAAGTCTCTTAACCGCTCTCTTTTCTCTTTCTTTTTTTTTTTTTTTTTTTTTTGGCTTTTGTCATAGGGTGCCTACACTTGCCAGGGAGAGACAAAGACAGTGAGATGGAAAGTGAAAAATCACCCCTTAGAACAGATGGCCAAGCTGCAATCCCTCCTCCTCCATTCTCCTCTTGGGATTTGGTACACACACACGCACGCATGCCTGATATGATTTTAAGTCACCAGGTATGGGACTTGAACCTCAGTCGGCCATGTGGGAGTCTAGAGCCTAAACACCACACCACTGGCCGGCCCTTCTCTTAAACCTCAGTTCTGATAGATCAGAAGCAGAGACCTAGTTCTCTTTCTCACTATACAAGACAGCAGGTGAAAAAGCCATGAAGCAGGACACTAAGGAGAAGAGACCTGAAGCCAAGAAGGCTGATGCCAGTGACAAGGTTAAAAAGGGTGACCCCGGGACCAGCAGTTGATGTAATGGCTATGTCACTGAACTCCCACGTAGTCCACCGCGGTTCGAGTCCTGGACCCGGTGGCTAAAATTCACGCTGGGCACGTGTGCGTGCATGCCCAAGATCCCGAGAGGAGAATGGAGAAGGGATTGCAGTGTGGCTATCCCCCCGGGGGGTGATTTCTCACTTTTTGTCTCTCTGTCTCTGTCTATCTTTCTGGTGAGAGCACACGCCCTATAGCAAAAAACTCTTCAAAAAAAATAAATAAATAAAATTTAAAAAGGGTTATCCCAAGGCTAGAAAGCCCAAGAAGGGGAAGCCCCATTGTAGCCGAAAACTGGTCCTAGTCCGCGGCATCAGCAGATAAGATACTCCTGGTCTGGAGAATGTGCCGATGAATATGCAGGACCCCAGAAATCTCCAGATGTGTACTGTATGCGTTTTTCTTTTTCTTTCTTTCTTTTTTTTTTTTAAGAGGTTTTTACTATAGGGCATGTGCACTTGCCAGAAAGACAAAGAGAGACAGAAAGTGAGAAATCACCCCCTGGGGGGATGGCCACTCCGCAATCCCTTCTCCTCCATTCTCCTCTTGGGATCTTGGGCACGCATGCACGTGGGCCCAGAGTGAGTTTAAGCCGCTGGGTCCAGGACCCGAACCATGGTCGACTACGTGGGAATCCAGCCACGTAACCATTACGCTATCTGCTGGTCCCTTGTATGCATTTTTTCACCTCACTGTATCACCCTCATGAATAAGAAGAGACCCCTGTGAGCTAACAAGCATCTGCCTGTTATGAGGCGCTGTCTCTGGGAGGTTTCTGGGCTGCCAGTCTCTCACACTTCCGTGTGTGTTTTCCTGATAGAAGGAAGACGTCGGAATGCAGGAAGTTGAGGTCTCTGGAGGACTGAAGGTAGAGTGGAGCTTACCGGAGACCTGGGGCCAGATCCAGGAGCACAGCTTCTGTAGACTATACACGGTCGGAATGTGTCCCTCCGTATTCATGTATTGAGATTTAGTTCCTATTGTGACAACTTTCAGGCTAGTAAGACTGGGGCCAGCAGGTGGCATGGTGATTAAGGCACAGGACTCCCACATGGCTGATGGTGTTTCGAGTCCCAGACCTGGCAGTTTGCTTTCTCTTTTCCCTCTGTCTCTCTCTGGTGAGAGCACGTGCCCGATAGCAAATTAAAAATAAGTAAAATTAAATAAAATAATTAAGAAAAAAAGACTATTAAGACTTAATTAGACTATGGTATTACTAAGTGAAGTCTGTGGCAGGTGATTAGGATTAAAGTCATTAGGGTGAGGACCCCACGCCTGCATCCGGGTAGCTTTAGGAGGCAAGGGAGCGGGCCAGACCTATTACACGTGGTTAAGCGCTATGCACTGGAAGGCAGGTCCCAATGCAGTTCGAATCCCAGCCCTGATGGCTTGGGAAATATGCTGGCAAATGTGCTTACATGCCCCAGATATCCTGACTGAATGGGAAAATGGAGGAAAAGGGACTGTGGTGTAGCTGCCCAACTGGGGGCGGTTTCTCTCTCTGTGGTGCGGCCACACACCCTCTGACAGTAACAACAAATACATTTTTTAAAAGAAGCGGGAGAGAGATGCAGAGACGTGGACAAGCGTTCGCTCCATCTTGCTGTGGAATGTTCTTGGTCCCCTCAGGACTGTGGGGAGAGTCTTCACCAACAAGGAGAACCTCGCCAGATGTAGCCCTTGACCTTGACCCTCCCAAGCTGAGCTGACTGAACCTCTGTTCTTTATAAATTGCCAGAGCGCTATTTGGTTATTAAGCAACAGACAATGTAGAAACACAGAACACCATGGCTCCGGCCTGCACGGTCGCCAGCAGGCCCCACCCCGGCTCCTGCAGGCAACGTGTACTCGTGTGCCTGCTCTGCCATTCACTTGCTGTGTGGCTTTAAGTCACCCGGTTCTGGAGCGGCTCAGAGCTGAAAGAAGCAGCCCTAAGGGATCACCTGGTTCTGAATCCTAGAACCCCAGTTCCTAGACTACACCTAGGAAGGCATCTGAAGTCTGAAGCGGCCTTACCCAGAAGCAGAGCCTGAGACGGGTACTAAGTCACATGCCTTACGAAGAGAGGGCCCTCGGGAGCCCCGTGAGGAGCCAGGGCAGCAGGCGGGGGAAGGCTCCTGTGGAATACTGTAGCACCAGGGTGCCCCCACCCTGAGCGGAGGCCAGGCTTCTGCGCCCGATGCCGTTGGTGACCCTCTGGGGGTCTGAAGTGCGGGAACCTCCTCAGTACCTTGGGCAAGGTGACCAGGAGGACACGGGTCTGCTGCTCATGGCAGCCCTCCCACCTCTCTCAGCAGCTAGGAAGTGAGGAAAGATGGCCTGGTGGCTGCCAACCCTTCCTTCCAGTTCTCAGGGCCTCTCAAATGTATTTCTAAACCAAAGCACCCCCACGGCGAGCCCCAGAGGACAAAACGGGAGGGGAGAGCACAGGCAGTTGTCCAGCAGCGTCTTGGAATCTGCACTTCCGATAAGCCCTGACTGCTCCAGGGCTTCCTGGCAGGCTGCCAAGTGTCCCCTCCTGGTCCTCCCCCAGCTCCGCCCACTGTCCTTGCATGACTGACTCCTCCTTAAGGACTTTGTCTTTCCTCAGCCCAGTTCCACATCAGATTTCTGCCCAGCTGGCTACTTTTCTTCAATCAAATGTCACCTCCACGGAGATGCTTTCTCTGAGCACCCCAGGTCATCTCGTCACATCCTCTGTGGTGGCGCCCTCTGCACTGCACTGGCCACTCAGGGGTTAACTGCCATGTGCTCACGGTGGGTTGGATGTCTTCCTGCTGGCCTGTGGCCAGCCCCATAGCATAGCACTTAGATGCTGCACAGAGGAGCCCACGTGGTGGACCAGGGTTCAAGTCCTGGCGCTTGCAGCTTGAAAAACCACATGGGACCAACAGATGGCATAACGGTTTTGTTGCTGGACTCCAACATAGTCGACCAAAGTTTGACTCCCATACCCAGGGACTTAAAACTCACGCGTGCGCATGCGTGCCCAAGATCCCGAGAAGATAATGGAGGAGAAGGGATTGTGGCATGGCCATCCCCCCTGGGGGGTGATTTCTCACTTTCTGTCTCTTTGTCTCTGTTCCTTCGGCAAGCACATATGGCCTATACCAAAAATCTCTCTTAAAACACACACACACACACACACACATACACACAACATGCCCAGGGTGAGGAGAACTGACAGAAGGGCTAGAGCATGCCCAGGCCCCATTGGGGGTACTTTTTCTCTCTATTCCTCTGTGTCTCTGTCTGTGTCTCTCTTATGTGTCACACATGTCTTCTGGCACTAAAAAAGGAAAACAATCATGACCTCCGTGGGAGAGAGCCTGGTCTGGTCTCACTGCTGTGTCCCTCCGTGGCACCTGCCAAACAAGATCCGAGTGAACGAGTTGGATATTTGAGGCAGACGCTGCAATGCCAGCACAGGAGGGCCAGGCCAGCCGGCGGCCACCCCCGGGGCCCAGGCCAGGATGGGAAGGAGTAAAACATCCGCTCAGGGTTTCCTTACCTGTTTGATCCCTTCCCGCCTCCAGCCCCTCTCTCAGCTCCTAACCCTCAATACGGTCAGAGTTGGCATCAACCTTTGGGAGACAGGTCATCTTTGGAAGGGTGCAAAGCTCTCCAAACATCGGGGAGCCTGGGTTCCAATTCTGCTCCAAATCTGAGCCTCCCTCTCCCTGCTGGTACCCGAGAGAGGCACAGTGACCATGACGGCCTCACGGGTTGCTGTGAGTGCCGGCCTTGGGGGCAACGTCATTTAGATACACACCACGGCAAACTGCAAACAGGGCAGGGCAAATTCCATCCCTGCCGCTGCGTGGCCTGTGTGTCTCCCCAGGCTCGGGGAGGGCTCTGCCACAGCCACACGTCCCTGGGTACCTGAGACCCCCACCATACCCAGCAGTCCCCATGGTCAGGAGCTCTGCGTATGACTGTGAGTGAGCATCATAGCCTCACATCGTGAGGTCCCAGTGAGGAGACCGAGGCTAGGAGAGTGAGGGGCTCCAGGTCCAACCCCCTGCATCTGACACTTCCGTCTCACTGGTGTAAGTGGTTGTCACCGATGGCTCATTTCGCACAGCAGCAGGGAGAAAGGCGCTATCATTACCTCAATGTTGCAGAAAGAGGAAGTGTGATTCAAACCAGGTCCACCCCTGGCCTCATGGGCAGCCTCCGCTGCACTCGAGGACCTTCCTGGGCACACAGCTGACAAGTGACATCACCAGCCCCACCGCGCTGCTGCTGCCCAAGCCTCCCGCAGCCCAGGCCCTGCTCCGTTTCCCAGATGTGGAGTCCGAAGCTGCAGGAGGCACAGGGGCTGAGCTGGGCCTGGAGCTTCTAGGGCAAGAGAGCGCAAGAGCAGAGGCATCCCCTAGGGACACACTGCGGGGAGCCCGAGGCTACCTGATCACCTGGGGGGCTTGCCTGGGGGTACCTGGGGACACCTGGGGCCAGGTGGGCAGAGGCTGCAGTGTCCTGGAGTCCCTTTCTCTGCCCTTGACCTATGCCTCCCCCCACCCTCTACCAGGATGACTGAGCCCATTGTTGGGTCTCTTGGGGGCCAGATCCAGGATGAACTGGGAGCTCCTGGATACCCATATCCCAATCCCCAAACTCAGCCAATGCCAAGAAGGAAGGGCTGCTTTAGCATTTGAAAATCAACCAACACAATTCACCATTTAGTAACAAACTAAACACACACACACACACACACACACACACACACACACACACAAGAAAACCCGCGTGGTCATCTCAGTAGATGGAGAGTCTTCGTTAAGACCGATATCCAGCAACGAGCCAACTCCAGGCGTGGCAATGGCCAGTACTGGAGCCATTACAGCCACAACGCTGAGCAGGGGACACAACCCCAACCGTCAACCTCAGAACGCTGGAGAAAAACCAAATCGAGAGCTTCCCCTCATGAACAGCACAGACCATCACGAAGGCCTCATTGAAAGGAGTACGGAGGACAGGTGAAACCTCCTGACTCTCTGACGTCACCAGGTCCCACAGAAGGTCAGAGAGATTAAAACGTCCATGAGTGAAGTGACAGGACAGACAGACGTCTTGGCACTCACTCGCTGAGGCCAAGTTCACAGTTCAAGTGAAGATTCCAGAAGAAAGATAACGCAGCAGGTGTGACTGCAGTTATCTGAACATTAGGACGGAGCTGAGAGCTAGGACCTAACTGGTTGGACCAGAGGTGGGAAAAGATGGGCCAAGTTCAAGAGGAGTTACGCCAAAGCAGTGGAACGACCGGTGGGACCAGCTCCACCGCAGACTTCCTGTCACCCGGGACAGCTGTTATGACAACCAGCAGGCATGCAAATGCTGTCGAGCATGTCACCGCTCCCAGACAGAACCTGCCCTTGCTCGTATCATCGCAGAGCTGGATGAGAAAGAACGAGAAGAGTTACAGGTTAGAGAAAAGACAGGAGAAGAAAAAGGTTCTCAGGAATAAAAAGCCGAGAAGGCCTTGAAAAACGGAGAGCAGCTGCCCAGTTGTAGAGAAGGATCAGGATTTGTGCTTTGAATAAGCTCTCCCGTTCCGAGTCTTTCAGAAACCCTTACACGGACTCCATCTGACTTCACGGTGTGTAGTTGTGGTACGTGTGGTTATTTATTTTTCAGCCTGCACATTTCATTGGTTTTAAATGTACCTGTATGTCCATTGATAGGATGGTTTTTGCAGAATCATAATTCAGTCACCGTTTATCAAAAATGAAAGCGATTTGGAAAACCCGCCCAGGAACTTACAGTTTATTCTGTAGACGTGTCGCGCGTCTCCATGCACACCTGTGTTGCACACAGTCTGCTTACCAAGCACATTAGGAAATACCTCTTAGGAAACATCAGTGGCTTCCAGCCAGCTGCCGGGGAGCAGCCTTCGTTCCTACCCACTTGCAAAGCTTGGCACTGTAGTCTGATTCCTGCAGCTATTCTCATGTTACTCTGCTACTTTTCTTCTTGAGTTTCCAAAAAAAAAAAAAAATCCAGTATCCCTCCCAATAAGAAATCTCAGTAAATTATGACTAGAAGGGAGCTACCTCAACCTGAAAAAGGCATCTGTGAAAAGTCAGAGGTGAGCGGTGAAAGACTGAACACTTCTCCACTTCGATCGAGACGCCATTGATGTCTGCCCTCATTCTACTCCGCATGTCCTAGAGATTACGGCCAGTGCAATCAGGCAAGAAAAAGGTGAGGATACCCATACTGGAAAAGAAGAAATAAAACTCTTTATTCCCAAATAATAGAATCATCAGAGTCCTAAATAATTTATAAATCTATAAAGCTGGGGTCAGTAGGTGGCATGGTGCTTAAGGTGTCTGGATTCACATGGTCGACTGAGTGGTTCAAGTCCCAGACCCAGTGACTTGAGAAACACATTGGATGCGTGTGTATGCATGCCCAAAATCCCAAGAGAAGAACGGAGGTGAAGGGAATTGCAGCATGGTCATATCCTCTGGGAGTGCTTCCTCAGTTTCCTTCTATCTCTTTCTTCTGTCTCTCTCGAGTGAGTGCACCTGCCCTATAACAAAATTACAAAATAAAATAAAAAGTTACATGTAAGTGGATTTGAGGTAAAAGAGGAGGGTTGCTGCTCTTTCCGGCCTCTCAAGGTGTCTCTGTCCTCAAACAGGTTCAGGACAGCACTCCTTCCCACAGGAGAGACAGCCTGAGAGTCTCCTCTCTCAAGACAAGGCCCTCGTGATCCTTTGCTCCATGGACCTAGGATCTGCAGGGGGTCTGGTCCCCATCCCTGCAGCTCCCAACCGGGTGCATGATGACTGGCCTCAGGCCCTTTGCACCTACTGTATGCATAATGCCTTGCTTCTTCTTCCCACCAGCCTAATCCAGGCCCTGAGAGGAACCAGGAGCAGAAACAGACGCAGACACACACACACACACACATACACACACACAATCTGGTACTTTTTCTCCTTGAGCTTCACAAAAACATCTTATTTGTCCTTGCCCCCTCCCCCGCTGGGCCCGTAGCTATAGGAGTCTGCCAGCCTCCTGCTTGCTCCAGTGACTCCCCCTCTGTGCCCCCCAGACCCCTGGTTCTCCTAGGCTGATCACATCTTCATGTCTTGGTGCCAGGCTGAAAGCCCCTTAAGGGCTCAAACGTTTCCTGCCTCCTTTCTGTCCCCCGATTCTCTGGGTCCAGTCTATGCCTGGCACAGCTGACCAGCTGCTAGGGACTTGAGATGGGCCAGTCACGTTTTTACTAATTCAGGAATGTCCCTAGTGGAGAACAATGGGGACAGTGGAATTTGGGGGAAACAGAGCAGCTTTGTTTCACATCTTTTCACATGCAGAGAACAGACCCTCAGGCCTTGGGCCAACACATGCAGGGTGCCAGGAAACCCTGGTTTGGTTTCCCCTTGCTGCCTTGGGACCCAGTGAGTGAATCCTTTCTTTTCTCTAGGCCTTACATTATCTGTCTGGAAAATGGATCTGGAGAAACTCCTCCTGCAGCCAGGTAGGGCACGTGGTGTGGGGAGCAGGGGGTGTTCTCAGGGGTCCAGCTGCAGGGAACATCGGGCACCCGAGGCCTGTTTTCCTGTGTCTGGAGACACCCCCGAGTGTGCCTGGAATGGGCATGCGATGATCCGGGGCTGGCTGAAGCCAGCAGTGGATGCAGCCTCCAGACCCTGTGGGGGTGCTGTCTTTCTGTCTCTCTCATTCATGGAAGAAATAAAATTAAAAAAAAAAAACAAACCAACCTCTAAATACATGCTCCTTGACTTATCATGGGGTTTGTCTCCATAAACCTAAGTCAAAAATACATTTAATGCCCTGAAAAACCTATGATCAACTCAAAAAAATTCTAAGTCAAACCCACCAGCTCAGGGACTATCTGCAGGTCTAACCACGAAGCCTCTGCTGTGACCTGTGAATGAGGGCCATGTGGGAAGGCAAAGGCAGCGCCCTCTCCCGGCGCTCTTGTGAGACAACGAGCCTGGCGGGCAGTGAGGCCCAGGGAGCCTGGGGGCCCTCCAGCCTGGGCTCTGACTGAGCTGGAGAAGGTGCCTCACAGGTCGGGAAGACGGGCTCTTGTCCCCACCGTCCCCAGCCTACCTGGAGCTGCCGATGCTGGGACCTCCGGAGGTCGGAGGCTTCTGTTCAAGCAATCAGCGTCTGAGGGTGACGTGCAGAGACAGGCGCATGGGGAGGAGGAAGGCCGGGTATGCAGGGTGATTCGGGAAGCTTCTGGGCCCAGTATGGCACCCTCCTTTCCTTTGCCCGCATCCTCAACTTCTCTCAGCATCCCCCGCCTTTCCTGACACTCACCACTTCTCCCAGCACCCTCATCTCTCCGAGCATTCCTCTCTCTCCCAGAATTCCCCACTTCTCCCAGCACCCTCACTTCTCCCAGCATTCCTCTCTCTCCCAGAATCCCCCACTTCTCCCAGCACCCTCACTTCTCCCAGCATTCCTCTCTCTCCCAGCATCCCTCACTTCTCCCAGTATTCCTCATCCCTCCCGCATTCTTTTTTTTTTTTTTGGAGAGGTTTTTTGTTGTTGTTGTTGTTGTTTTGTTTTTTGTTTTTTGCTCTAGGGAACGTGTGCTCACCAGAAAGAGAGAGACAGAGAGACAGAAAGCGAGAAATCGCCCCCCCAGGGGGAATGGCCACACCGCAATCCCTTCTCCTCCATTCTCCTCTCGGGATCTTGGGCATGCATGCACAAGCGCCCAGTGTGAGTTT